ACTTTCGACGCTATTCTGGAGGACTATCCGGAGATGAGCCATCACGTTGCACAAAACGCCTCCATTGTGCACGATCCTGTCTTCGAAGCAGCAATAACGAAGGTCCTTAACGACACCACAGGAGATTTGTCAACCAGAGAGATAGCTGCTATAAAGCAGTTTGAAGTTAAAACAGCCCCCCCCGTCTAGACGCATTGTACACGGCGAAATGGTCGACTACTACCACCAGATACAAGAGCGCAAGCGCCTGAAAATGAGAGGAGCAGACCAAAACACTAATAAAGTGACTATACACACGTTAGTGTATGAGTAATCCCACGATGGGGGGGGCAGCTGCACCAAAATAGTGGCGGATTACAAGCACCATCTGTATCGTAGTGTATCGCTTTAGAAACGAACCCATGCAAGATGTGAAGGAACTTCACACCAGCTCAAACGATAAAAACACTACGTTCACTGAGATAGCTCAGTGTCATACAATCGCAACTACACTAGTAATGGCACTTAGATCCCTATATGTGTAGCTGTGACTTAGAACGGAAAGAACGTAGCTATCTTCAACCGCTGAAGATCCGCATTTGCGACTTAAATGTAAATGTATTGTATGGAAGCATTGTCCACGTGTGGCCGCACTGGTTTTAAAGATTCAACTGTCGGTGTCAATTCGGTTCGAATAGCTTCATCCGAAAAAAACTGGATGAATCTGCTCTTGGCTGCATCACGGCCGTCGTTGCAGCCGACAATGACTACAATAATGAGGGACGGAGTGGAGGTTTGTGGTCAACATGGTCCAACTTTCTTTTTCGTCAACGACTTAATTAAGTAGATCTTACTGCAGATCCAATCATACGCTATAATAACCCCACCGAGACGTATCAAGACTACAATTTGCCGGATGAACTGCAAACCAAACGAGCGACAAAGGGGACGACGACGACCTGGATAATACTAAACAAAAATGCAAACGAATAGGATGATTTGAATTAAGTAAGTGAGGAGATCGATGTGTTGGACGGAATATTGGAGCTATTATAGCACTTCCTCGGTCGAGGCTGCAGCCTCATCAGCCTTGCAGTCGTAGCGTAGTAGTTGCGGTGAATCTTCAAGCGAGCTGTTTATAGGACCAGAAGTACACTTGTTTAGTGAGGAGAGCAGGTCGACAAGGCGCACTTTTGACGTACCGGATGCAGTTGTTTTGAGCGTTGATCTGCTTGAGACGGAAGCAACCGTCCAGTCCGCCAAGTTCCTGAATCTGGCAGGTCGTCAAAGAAAGAATCTTAAGTTGAAATTCTACTGCACAGATGACATACCTGGTTGTCATTGATTCCAGAGCACCTCGAGGTTAACGAAAGCATCGAAGTTCGCAATTTAGTCGATGCGCTTATTGTCCATGTACAGCTCGGTGCAGCTTTTCACATATTCGTGATTCTTGATGGGCAGCTCCGCATGGGGATCCGAAAGCCGCCAATTTCGTGTCATGTTAGAGTTCGAAGAGCGATCAAACTAAAGTTGTTGATTAAAAAATGACGTTGACGAACAGATTTGACAATTTTATTTTAAAAAGAACCCCGTTATCTTAAACGACACTTCTGCTCTAATTAGCTGGTACGTGGTGGAGATCATCGCTCTTTTAACCAGGCTTGAACTTAGCCACGTCTGTCTAACGAGCTCAACGACCCGACCAAGCGCCACGGAGAAGCTACCGAGCCTGGTGCCAGCACACGCCAGATACACGCAGCAGCTCGTCCAGTCGCGGGTCCAGCACCTCCAAAGGCGTACAGATAGACAGCTTGAGACACTCTTCAAGCTGCTGTGGGCCCACATCCACTCGGAACAAATCCGCCGGAAGCGCCAACGTGCGAGCCACATCGGCACCAGGGCCACGTGAGTCATCAAACAGCAGGCGAGATCACAGCAAATCACGTTCGCAGTGTTGAGCAGCAACGCGGAACAACTCTCGCGTGAAGAGCTGAGCTTCCTGCAGAGCCCGCTCCGCCGGTAGCACACCATTTCCCACGCCTAGTTCCGAAGGGGTACTCTTGAGTAGCAGAAGCTGTACAGCGTCCTTGTCCAGAGGCTTGCGTGTCAGCGGTTGCGTTGTGAGGACCAGCGAGTATCCGCCCAACGGCTCCACCTTACGTGTCGACAGAGTTATCGTGGACGGAGGTCGATGGAAGAAGCTTCCTGATGACGAGTGACACACGACTGCATCCGGTGTACCAAACTGCAGTAGGTCTAACACTTCGTAGCGTGAGCCATGACATGCGATGTATCGGAGTAAGATCTGCACCATGATCAGCTCCAAGCAGTTGGATTGCAACGACGCAGGTTGCAGCTTAACTGTCACCATGCGGATCACACAGTCGCGCCAGAGCAGCGACAAGGGTGCTGCAGATGTTGACGCGGTGTTCGCTTGAGCTGGGCCCAAATGATGTACCAGCTGCGGATGCGGTTTGTTGGCAGCTCGTCGAGTAAATCTCGCTGCAGCTCGCGAAGGCGGTCGATGGCCATCACTGCTACGTGGTGCAGGTGTCAAGGTAGCTCTGACATCGTTCGTCCTTGTCAGTGCGGTGCTCTTGCTGCTGGGATACCTGGCAGGTGACGACGTTGGGGCTGGTGTACTGAACTTCTTGGGTTCCTCCGGCGGGTCCGGAAAGGCTTGCAAGAATCATTGAAGCCCCTTGACGATGTTCTGGAACGTGGACGCTTTCTTCCAAGGCAGCGGTGGGGTCACGACAAGCGCATCATCCTCACTAAGATACTTGCCTACACTGTGACCGTGTCCATTCTCTGCGTCGTGGAAGTCGTGCGGCGCGTCAAGCCACTGCAGAAGATGTTGCTGGAAGTAGCTGGATGGTGAACCGTTAAATGAGAGCTTGGGTCTGCAGTTG